TGTCAGTCAAATAACATCTACCTACAAATAAAACTTATATCAYTGCAGGAAAAAGAGTTAAGAGAAGGTCCCAGCAAGGTTCAAAGTTTGATTGAGGTTGAAAAGACCGCAAAMCTGCGAGAATGTCCCTCTTGATGCAATCCCGCAAAAACACAAACTTACAAATTCGAATTTTAAAAGAGAGAAGCAAGTGTTGCAAGAGAAAATTTCATATGACTTTGTGCAATGTCATTGCTGGTGTCTAGTTAAATTAAAAAAATGAATTGAGATTTGTTGGACATTGTGTGATCTATCTGGTAATCTACTGATAGTGTTGCACTCTAGTGACTATAAAATATAACAACATACCTCAAATATGAACATTCCAGAAGAGAAGAAGTAAGAAGACTGTCTTGTAAATCAGTCATTGGTGTGCTTGGAATGTCTGCCTTTTGGACTGATCCATGCATCTCTTCTCTTAATGAATCATATTCACTTGAGAATGAGAACAGAAGAGGTGACTGTAAGCAGGACTCCTCTAAGCAGCCTTGCGTCAAGCAGCTGTCAATCCAGTCTTTATCGCCAGGAAGGTTACCATCTCTTTGAAATGCTATGCAATTTGGCTCATTCAGTTTGTTTATTCTTAATGGAGATACTATATTGGTGATGTGTGATTTATCTTTATAGTGACTAAACCTTTTGTATTCAAGGTTTAAAGGTGTTGATTGGTTTGCAAAGGTTTTGTGAATAGCTGGATTGATGCTGCAAGAGTCATCAAATAAGTCAGGAGAGTCAGTTCTTTGATGCTGGTCAACAAACAAACTTGTTTTCATAGAAGTATCTTGCTGTCTTTCAAACTCTCTTGTCTTCGTCCTTTCACCTTGGATTGATAAGCTCCTAATGTTGCTAGCATCTTCACTTGGTCCAACAGTTTCAACATTTTTTACAGCCTCACATGCCTCTTGAAGCAATGAATCAGACATATCRTCTTCACACAACATTAGGTACTGGTCAAAGGAGTCATTTAAAGACTGGTTTACAGACTTAGATCCTTGCTGTTTCTGATTTGAACAGCAAAGGCCATTGACTTTTGGTTCAGTCAAAACATCAAGTGTACTGTTTTTGACCTTCACACTTTTTGCTGGACAGTCAGCAGTGTTGTCAACTTGATTTAAGCCAGCTTCATATTCCATTGTACATTCTTTATCAAAATAACTTTGGTTTATACTCATATTGGCTAGATCAGCACTTAAATCTCCACATRAATCAACACAATCAACATCACTCATGTCCATTTTAATAAATGACTTTTGCTTCCAATTTCCTGTGAAATCTTGGCTTGTTTTATCATTGTGGTTTCCAAGGAGATAMGAACTATAAAAGTCTTCTTCCTCACTTGGTGCATCTAGCGGTTCTGTAGGAATGTGTCCAGGACTTGTGTCATTTATGAAATTATTGCTTGATAAGGAGGGTGAGTCAGTTCCTTGCAGGCTGAGTAGCARTAARGYTGTTCTGTTTTGAGTGACATCATATATAGGACTATAACACAGGCTTGATTTACTGATATCTGTGAATCAGGAAAAGGTAACTGAATAAATGAGGTTTTCAAGGAGAAAAGCTCACAAATTAAGAAACAGTCTTGAAGTTTTCAATGATTTTTTCAGGCCTCAGCCCACCATTGGTGTTTGTCAAGTCTTTGTAATACTTGATTAACAGGAAACAATGAATGAGTATACCTTAGTGGGAAAAAATTGTAGTTGCAGCATTGCAGATTAGGAATGTGCAATTTACAATTACTGTGTGAAATCAGACTGCTGACGGCAAGCTTTGTATGGTTTTCAACTTTGCCTAAATAACTTTAGCCTCATACTTAATAATCTGCAAAATGTTTGTTACAACAATGAACTCACCTTTCGTTGTCATTTTGCTGCTAACAGTAGATTCAAAAGTTGAACTTGGTGTCTCACATGACAGTACAAGTTGTGAACAAAAACTGCTTTTTAAGTAGAAAGACTGTCTACTGCACTCATAGCTCAATGTCATATTGGTTCCTTGACTTAAAAGTGACTCTTGACTGCTACATAAAGGATGTTTTGAATTATGTGGAGATGACACTCTTTGCCTCAATGATTTCAAGTTATCTTTTAAAATTTCAAAGACAGTTACTCCATTGTCAAAGTCTTCTATCCTTGAYATATGGCTAGCTAACAAATTAGATGTTTGCTTGTTTTGTGCAGTATTTGCTTCTATAGTCCTTAGGTTTGGTTGTGAATCTGTAMTTRACTCGTTGATAWTGAGACCACGAAATGTAAGTCTAACCATTGTACCAATGAAGCATTGTTCTAYGCATTGTTGGACAAGCTGTTCTAGTGGAATGGGAAGATCTCCAGACTCCTCAAGTGACCTTTCAATAAACCTTGAAATAGAGCATTTACAATAACAATTTAATCAATTACTTTCATGATCAATTTTATTTTTGTTAATAACTACAAGCAAATTTTAATAAAAATATAAATGTTTTTTAACCCAGATCACCAAGCCTATTTTTTATCAAACAGCTGGATCATAATTAAATAAATCAAGCACAATTTGCAGAAGTAAACAATGAAAAAAAGGAAAAAAGAAAAACATAAGCTATGAGAAGAAAGGGAAATGTCAATAAAAAACGAACAAGGAAATAACAAAAAGAGAAAATGAAAAGAATAGTGGGAAAGAAAACAAAAGAAATATTTAGGATTGAGMAAAAGAGGAGACAACATAATTTATAGTATGAAATAACCTGTTGAAATGCGTTGCACTTGTCCCAAAGAACATCTCAAGACATTGCCCAAATATTGTAACATTTGATATCTGAGACCTGTCTGACACAGTTATGTTGACACGATAGCGAAAAATAAGACTCTTTTTATCGTAGTCATGACCACAATAGCTACAAAAGAACCTGAAAAAAAAAATAACAAAAATAAAAATAACAAAAACAGTCAACTTAAATTACTAGTAAAAAACTTAAGACTTGTGATGTCGGTAATGTAAAAGCTGTAAAGATTTTTAAAAGAATATTTTGAGTAAAAACGTGAGTTCCGTAAAAATACGTACACATTTTCATCATGCAATGTTCTTAGTCTTCTTGAACAGCTAACACAACATGGAAATGAAACATTCCTATGAACAGATAACACTTTGGCAACAACATGAACACTTCGTGCCGCCATTTTGTCAGACAACTCCGTTAAAACTCTTCTTAGAAACACAGCATGTCATTAAAAAAAAGATTTCCATTCAAACTAAAAGTAATCCACCCTTAAAACAACAACTTCTTAGCCCTAACATCACCTTCTACTGAAATATTTCGAGTTTTTACGCTAGATTTKAGGCTGACAAAGTTAAATTCGCCCGCCATATATTTCTACTGTTGCCCAGTCCTTTRCACATTTTTAAAAAGTGCAGGGAGCCCAATTCAATAGATAATCTTTGGAGACGTGAAATTCCCAGCGGGTGATCTTGATATTTTCATATTCATTGCATTTTTGGATTCCGTAGTCTCGCTTTGTATACTCTACACTATGTTCTTCGATCGCTCACAGAGCTTTTCCAAATGTGATTGCTCGCATTTGTTTTCACTAATTTTGGCCGCATCGCCCTATACACCCTTTTAATAAGTCCCGAGGTTTTGTGTTCTCCGCACTTGACGTCAAATTTATTCTTTTGAATTCCTTTTTTATTGTAAAAATTTCAAAAGGGTGTATATCTACATCTACATAATTTAATTGCAAAATCCTGTGGGGACATATGTCAAATTCCAATGCGAGTGCAATATACGAATACACATGATACAAGAGGAATAAAATGCAACAACTCCTTCTAAGACTGTAGTTTTCATGTGTCTAGCTATCGTTTACACACCTAATTTAATAGGTAAATAATTTACAAAATAAAATAGGTAAATAATTTAAAAAAATAAAATAAAATAGGTAAAAAATTTAAAAAATGTTACAAAAAACGTTGTCGCAGAAAACGTCCTTTCATAGTGCAATTGACTATTCTTAAAATTTTGTTCCAGTACAGAACTCGGGAATAGCCTCGTTCCTAGGACAGAAAACAATAGAGAATATACAATCAATTTACAAAAGATGGGAGTTGGAGAGTGCTGTCCATCTTGGCCCACCATGCTTATATACAGAACAAAGACAAGGTTTTAGAGCATTTCTAAGCTGTTCACATTGTTCTTTTTTTTTCAGAAATCAGGCCTTTTCCGCGTTAGTTTCAATATCTGACCGTGTAGCCAAACTGATGTACTTGGCTGGTTCTGAACGRGACCGATCCCGAGTATATGATAGCACAGTGTCCATCATCGTCATCGCGCGKGTTCTTTTAAGCGGCATTTCTTTAAAATCATCATTATTGTTTAGATATAGTAAATGTCCGTCTAGGTCCTCCACGATGGGTGTGGTAACAGCTTCCACACGATTCAAACGCTTATCACGTCTCTTTMTCCAAGGCTTGAAGCAGTATTGAAGAAACGGAATGAAAAARCTCAGTGCAAAGATTCCTGCTCCAGCAGCTATTCCTTTGTTGAAAGAACCGGTTATGTCGATGATTAAACCTGTTTGGGAGAAAAAGTTCAAGAATGGTTGATGAATATCTTGAATTTGATGTGCTATTTGTTTCATAGCTTTTGGCAGTAGCATTTTAAACAACGAAATTTTATAATTAAAAGAATAATAGACTAATCATCGAGTTTCAGCTATTGATCATTTTCACCCATTCTTCAAAAGATAAAAGACCAGCGACCATGTGGGAGAAATTTTAGTATTTCTGYATATCACGTCCTCCCCTAATGGTGCAACCCTCCCGACTTGGGAAAATCCTGGACCGGCGCACTGTAACCGTTTAACTGTTCTGCACAGTCATACAGATTCTTTTAATAGATCCCAGCGCCATCTTGAAAGCCAKTCGTGACGTGAATGAAAACCATACTTCTGTTGATCGAAATTGAGTTCAAAAAACAGGAAAMATTTATAACAGGGACTATCGCGGAGCATATTCTTGGTTGAGCGGGAACACCAAAGGCTGGATAATGTATAGGCACCGATGATCAGTTTAATTTTGAACCTCGGAAATGCAATTTCCAGTATTACAGGATTGAAAAAAATAGAAAATAGTCAGTATAGGAGTGAAAGGTTGAAAATAAAATTGAATTTCCCAAAATTATTGCCGTATTGCTKGGGAAGGGGAGAGGGGAAACACACCCCCACTAGCCCTTTGCTCCGCGTTCCGGTATAAGGTATCACTGATATATTACTGTAGGTTCAACAACCACTATTTCGATTTAATACAGAGCTGGGACCCACTCTTTTCAAGACGGCGCTTGGCACTTATATGGAGAAGGATCTCTGTACCTATAAAAGGTGCACCAGCCGCATTTCCAGTTGACGTCAGAACCTCAGCAATAGGCCAAGCATAATTCACTTGGTGYTTTTTAACAGTGTTCAAGAACAACACGGCTATTGTGGTACGCCAGACGCCCATGCCGATGCCACAGAAGAAYGAGAATATYAWAAAATGATRATACTGGTTGGCCAGATTGATTAAAAATAATGATGTTGACAATATAAATGCAGCAGTCTGGTTCACGTGGAAAGGGTTGACAGTCTTGTGATCCATGATGCGTCCAGATACAACAGACGAGRCCAATGCCAAGACACCGATTACTGTAAACTGATTGGCTCCTTGTTGTGATGTAATACCAGCCTCTATACAAAATTTCACCTGAAAACAACTTAGGTTTATTACTAATAACTAATTGCTAATATTCATAGTACTTAATACTCCATTTGGAATTCATAGTGAAAAACCGYTGCTTTATTTGACAACAGATTCTCTTGCGCAAAAAATTGACCAAACACAAAAGAAAGCACGAGAAATTAGCCTTGAAAATTTGCATTTTCTCCCAGTTGAGACTAACTAATTTGCTCTGGGAGTGCAGGGTTAGCCTCAACTCGGGAAATGTGTAAATTGCATGTTAGGGCTATTGTGCGACCATCATTTTCTCGTCCTTTATTTTGTGTTTGGTAAGCTCTTAATTGCGTAAGAGAATCTGCTGTCAAATAAAACAGCGGTTTTTCATTATGAATTCGAAAATGGAGTATTGTATCACTTGTTTCAGCATCAAAATTAGTTTTCTATTTTGGTGGCTGCACKGACTGATTACGGTATATTTGGCAACCATACGCTGGAAAGAAGGAATTTCTCTAATTGTCAGCATTATTTGCATTTGGTTGATTTCAAAAAAAGACTTAAAACATTTCTATTTAACACATAAATGTTTATGCCCATGCCTGACATTTCTAGGATCATTTTTYTACATTTTTACATGTATTATAGTTATTTTTGAGATTGTAAAAGCATTGAGATTTTAAAATGCGWTTTAAGAATTAAATTRATATTATTTATTATTATTATTCATACTGAAACTTGCACTACTTACCAAATACACATACACCACACTTGTAGAAAAACACTGCAGGAATATCACGACTAATGTGATCACATACGCCGGTTGTTTAAAAATTGATGAAACGGATATCGCAACATTGGATTCTGTTTCGCTGTCTGTAGTTGAGGTAATATCTTCAACGTTGGTATCAAAGGTTAGGAAGATTGCAAAGAACAAGCAGCAGGTCATACCAGCCATGATTTGAAGTGTAGTTTTCAAACCAAACAGGTCAATAAGAACCTGAAGAAGAGGTCCAAGTGTCAACATACCCAGAGAAAAACCGCTATAAACAATGCCAATAGCTAAATTTTGTCGTTTTTTGAAGTAGACAGTTGTTGCGCGTAC